TGCGGTGTCGTTTGTTTCGGTAGTGGTAGTGGGTCGGTGAGTGTTTCGTCGGATGAAGTCGTTGTTGTAGTTGTTCTTCGTAAAAACACGGTGAAGGTATTTGTTCTCGTCGGATAAGCTGTCTGTCGAGTCNGGAGAAGAATGGTTAAAGTACGTTGGGTCGACTCTTGGGCAACCCTAGCTAGTGTCAGTAATTGTGCAATAACGCGTTCGTTGTATTAGAGTAACTGTGCATTACGATAGATGAGCGCACGGACCTAAATTTTAGAAAAGGGTGGCTCAAAGGATAAGGTTTCCGGTCAAGTAGCAACTAACGTTTTTGTTTAGCATTTACAGTGCTTATAATTTAAGTGCGATTTTGTAGATATAAAACGATAACTTTACCACTAAAGTGCGTTTCTTCTATAATTTAAGTGCAATTGTGCAGATAAACAATGATTACCTTACCACCGAAGCGCGTTTCTATAAGTATAATCCCTTGAAGGTACTTACTACCACATGCTCTTTACAGAAATTATTAGAATTAATTGCGTCTTTCCTAATGTTTATTGCAGCTATAGTACACATTTTTAAAGGTGTAGCTTTTACAGTGCCAGTGCCATTAGCTTACGGTTGCGTGCGTGGAGTGACAAGGTGAATCTTCCAGTGGTTGGTGCAGGTGCAAAGAGGTGCATTACGCTTCGGTAACCAACCTGCTCCAATTGGAATATTCTTCGATTTTTCTTTACCGTTTCTCGTGCAACTTGTAGTTGTTCCTCGCCTGTTGAGCCTTCCCTTCGCTTATTTCCACTCCACTGTGTTGTTATTCTGTGAGCCTGTGTGGGAAAGTCTACAGAATCTTGCTTCTCTTTGAAGATATCCCGTTCTTTCAGGATTGAAATACTCTCCACGGATTAAATCGACGAAGTTTAAATCTTGATTGAGCGTTCAGCCCAGGTCTTCCGTCTGATGTAAAAAGGCTTTTTCTAGCTACCAGCTCATCTCTCTCTTGATCAGCAGTTGACTGCATTCGTTGCATAAACTCGATTTTAAGAAGCAAATCTTTTTGCTGTTGTTGAAGCTGTGTCAAGTTGTCCTTGTCTGAAGCTATTTCGTGAAGAGCCTTTATTTCTTGCTGTTTAGAGAGGATGTCTTCATCAGTAATTTCTTTACCGACTAATTCTTCAAATTGCTAAAAGAGAATAAGAGCTGATTAACTTCTTATCCAGCTCGAATTAGGCCACGTATGTGATGCTGGCAATGTTACTTAATAAAGCATCAAAAATCTTACTGCTAAGAAGAATCAAATGTATAGGAAAGAAACAGCTAGTTCATTCCGTGGAAAATATATTCACTGAACTTAGGTACTACTAAAACTATCTTACCTTGATTTTTTGTTTGCCTTTCCTTGGTTCTTGACATTCGCGCTTCAGCTTGGAATTCTCTTGCTGTAAGAGCGCATTTTCATTTACCATTCTCTCTCGCTCCCATATCAGAGTTCCAACTAGTAACTTGCAAGTACCCCTCGTGGGGTTTAGACACATTTAACAAAACCACTGTTCATTATTGATTTAAATCTGGTATCCTGGCACCAAAATAAAATTAACATCCAGCAGACAAAGTTAGGAGAGAAAGCTACAATATTCATTTCTTAGAAATAATTCTCTAGTAGAGGTTTATTAATGATACTCATAGACGTACAGGCACCTTTGGACTTGGAGGGGGGACTGTGACCTCCATGCCTGAAAAAAATTACACAATTTCCTAATGTGTTAGCATTAAACTGATGTAGAACTGCCTTAAAATTGATTGTACTGTTGCCTGAATTCTAAGCATTTCGCCTGACAAATGTTGAAATTTTTTTAAAATTGGGGGGGGAGGGGAGATTTGCAAATAACCCATCCCCCAGGATTGTAATGCCTCTAATGCTACCCTATAATTATTTTAGGAATGGTCTATAATAGTCACAATGCATGTAAACAATTTGTTCTTAGTGTTTGAAAACATTATCAGGCCTCTCACCTGACTTGAAATACTCTGAACAGAACATGTTGTAGGAGTGTGAGCCATGCGAACCCGTTGGAAGCTTAATTGGCTTTGGAGCTGCTTGTACTCCAGAACTTATCTTTTCCTTTTGTCTAGCATTTCCAATCCATTTCTATATAAATGTATAACATTAAAATAAAGTATTTCAAAATGCCTTAAGCTAGAATAGCAACCCTTCCCTTTTTGCTCTCTTTCCCTTGCTGGCCCTATAGAGGCCCAGCCAGGGTAAATTCCTACAATGGACATGGCCCAAAAAGTAGCGATAGCATGTATATGAAAGTCTGAAACATTTAAGATCTTGTTCACCAAACTTCCGACAACAACAACAAGGTGGAGAAATATAGACAAAATAATGACACCGTAGCTTTTTAAATTGAGACAAGCAACACAGGGAACCCCCTGGCAGGACCTGACCCTATTTAAATACCCATGCAAGCTGCACGCAGAAGCTCTGAGCTTGTATACTTTACTTGATCAATAGATTGTATTCAATCCAGAACAGAATGATTGGCCGGCAAAAAATTAATAAAGGTAGATCTTCTTGGTATGTACATGGATGTTGAATGGATGATAAATGTAACATTCAACCACTCTAGATTGAGGATGTAACCTAAACTTCGAGCCAGGATTCGATCGTTAGCTATCAGGTTACCTACTATTAACACTTTCAGGTTAGCCTACTTTTCAGCTCCAATTAGCCAAACTTGTGCTCCGGTTAGCCTCAGAGCACTCAGGTTAGCCTAACCAGCTCTTCTGTTGGCCAACAGGGCACTAGGGTTAGCCTACGTTTAACTAAGGCTGCTTACGTTAGCTCTCAATAGGGTAACACAAAATAATTATTCTTTATAATTTATAATAACGGATGAGTAAACGCCTATCTTCTTTTACCGGTATATTCTTGATCATTGATTATACTGCAGACTGCAAGCGTATTTTCGAGCATAAAACGGCACAAAAAAATTATTTAAAAAAAAGGGAGCTTCCTTTTAATTAACGAGGCAAACAAGAACCACAACGCCTCATTATGAATAGCACAATCGTACAGTGAACTTCCTTGACCTTGGTATATGACGGGCAAAATTCTGTTTAAGAATCAATACTTCAAAAGATAAGTTGGTGCAGTACACAGAGTAAGGGAAGTATAATTCTGAAGAACAATATACCGCTACATCGTTTACATAATTATGTCGGTGCGCTTTGAAGAAAGAAGCAGTCACCACAATGATCGCTATTATTATTCAACGAGATGTATAAAAGTGGCGGGGTATTCCGCATACATGAAACATGGTAGTGTTTCAGTCCAACTAATAAATATCTTACCGTTACTTGATCAATAGTCAGCCCCAGTTTCCTCGGCTGCCACATCAATCTTTTCCGTATTACCAGAACTGCATGTTTTCATGCCGCCGTCATAATATTCTTGTAGTTTTGACCTTTGTACATCGCTTATTTTATTATATGTTCTTTTGCGAGCTCTACTTGTATCCTTGTCAGTCATAGTGACGAAGAAGCGCCAAAAGTACACGACAAAGCCGATAAAACCTAAACGTCCAAACCAAGAAGAGCTAGCGAATTCGTAACTATTCGGTAAAGGATTTCCCCTTACACATCCGAAGTCAAGGGATTTGATTGGTCGAAATGTTTATACATATTTAATGAGCTACTGGGAAGACTTAGATTATCATTTGAGACGGCTTGAACCCACTGATCTAAATTTAGATTATATGGGTGTTAGCCATTTAGATTGTGTAAGTAGGGTGAATAGGTGCACGTTGGCGATGAGGCTACCATAGCAGATCATTGTATGTCATATGCTTTGAGTGATTCGAGTTACAGCTGTTTTCAGCAGAAGTGCCAACATACCCATGTGGACCACTGTTTTCAATGTGAAGAGTTTGGTACTGTTCTAGATGAGATTCAAGGGGCTGTTGAAGAGGCTTCTTTTCACACGAAAGATGATCATGACGAAGCCATCTACTTGGTAAAATACAGCAAGGACGTAATTCATGCTTGGAAGGCTCACCAACTCCGTACAGTGAGGCAAGACCAGTCTAGATTGAAGATTCTCAGAGAGCTAGATAGTGGTTCAGTCTTTATTACCCAGGACTGGGTCATGAAATTTCTACCGCGCAAGTATCGTGAATCTCAGTCAGACTGGTTCGGTAAGCGCGGCATCTCTTGGCATATATCCGTTGTCGTGCGCCGCCGAGCTAACCAGTTTGAGTCACAAGGATTTGTACATATCATCCAGAACTGCACCCAAGGAAGTTCCTCTGTGGTCTCCATTATGGCACATATCCTTAGAACTTTGAAATCAGAGCACCCAGAAATCAATCAAGCATTTTTTCGTCAAGACAATGCAGGGTGCTACCATAGCACTTATACTATATTGTCAGTGCCAACAATAGAAAAAGAAGCAGGAATTCACGTTGCTGAGATAGGCCTCTCAGATCCCCAGGGCGGAAAAGGGCCTGCTGATCGTATGGCTGCAACAATTAAAGGACACATAACACGATTCATAAACGAGGAGAACAATGTTACCAATGCGAAGGAAATGAAAAACGCGATTCTATCCCATGGGAGTCTACCAGGGATTCGTGTAGTGATGTTAGACAGTCTTGGGGAACCAGAAACTGTTCCCCCAACGCAACAGAAGATTAATGGCATCAGCAAACTGAACAACTTCAGATTTTATCCCGGTGGAATGAGGGTGTGGCAGGCATTTGATATAGGCCCCGGCAAATGCATCTCTTTGGAAGGAACAAATGGTAAACCTCACGTTCTCTTCTATATCCAGTTTCTAGCTATAATGTAGCATGATCTCTTTTTAGTTTTGAGACTGAAAACCCCAGCGAGGGAAAGCTTGAAATCAAGATCACTTAAAAACATCAAACCTGTCGTCAGTTTTATTTAGAACACAATACTAGAAAAATAAACTTTTACTATGTGAATCGCACGAAATCTCACTCTGGATAATGGTTAGGTGTGTTTGATTTTGTTGTTAATCTTTGATATTATTATTTTCCACAGAACGCCATTACCAAAATATTTCGGTTACTTTTTCCCCCGGAGAATTTAAAGAGATCGCCCCAAGGAGAAAACTTAAAGAGCCCACTAAAACTTTTACAACGGATCCCGCAGAGGAAGAGGACTATGGCCGTGAAGCGAAAGGCGATGGTCAAGTATTTCCATGTCCAAAAGAGGGCTGCACACGTAGTTTCCAACGGCACTCTTCTCTGGAAAAGCATCTCGCGTTCGGAAGATGCACAAAGACGGTTGAAAGAGAGACACTTCTTCATAAAGCGAAGGTAAGTATGCTGCAAGGCTAGTGGAAGGTTCAAGTTCCGTGCCAACTATTCCTCTACTTCCTGAAACCTGTCCTCGTAGCACTGGATATGTGACACCGTCGGAAGGCTTCGCTTTAAAACAAGTTAAGAAAGCTTACGGGTTTAACGAAAAGCAACGAGAGTATCTAACTGCTAGATTTACCATCGGACAAGAAAGTGGCAAAAAGGTCAACGCGGAAATGGTTGCAACAGAAATGAGAAGAGCAAAGGGATCGAACGGGGAGCGCTTGTTCAGTGTCTCTGAGTTTTTGACAACTCAACAAGTAGCTTCATTTTTTTCCAGAATGGCAGCAAAAGTGAAACAGCAGACAGCCCCCTGCGCACAAGCTGTAACTGAGCAAGATCTGGTTGCTATGGAGGAAGAATCTAATTTTTCAAATGCTAGGGAGTCTATTTTTGAGCAGTTAAATGTAACTCATCCTATTAATTACCAACAGTACAACATCTGTTCCATAGTCGAGAGTAACACACTCAAAAATCTCAAACTTGCAATCTTAAAACTCCTTTGCGAGTTTCAATCTTGCATTACCACCTGGGGTTGATCAGAGAAGAAAGACATCTTACATCGCTCTGCTCGAAGACCTTGTTAGATGCTGCTCTTGCAGTGCAGTTTATAAGGCAAATGGCCAAAGGCAGCTTAAAAAAATTATATGAACGTTGATATAAAACGAAAGGCAAGGAACATATTTTGGATTGGAGGAGCTATTGTAGTTCCCGCGTAGTGTGAGCTCATCAGCACCAACTTACCTATGAGGGTCCTGGGGCCTCCCCTCCGAGGAGAGCTTCCTTTTACCTGTTTCTTAGTGCGCCTTTCATAGTAGAGAAAGACTGCTGATAGGGTGTCCTGGGATATGCTCCCCCCGCAAATTTTGAAATCTAGAGCTTCTGAAGACATCGGAAACACGCTTCAGTCCTACGAAAAATTTGTCAATTTTTTATTACAAGATTAAAATAAATAATAATGATAATAATAAATTGCTCTTGGTGGGGCTACAGCCCACTCAACCCCATAGTTCCGCGGCCCCCGTATTAAAGGCGCAAGCCGGAAATGAAAAAGTCCTCTTCGAACGGCATTAGGCAGTCAGCCTGGAATCAGACAGGATCAGGCCGGCTGAATGTTTTTCGATAAAGACTCATAAAATAATTGATAAAAATAATGTAAAACGAGATATATAGGACTGGATGCTTTAGAATGGTGTTTTGACGAAAAAAGGATCGTGTCCGCTTTATTCGGCAACTTCACCTTTGATCCAACGTGACAATTGTCACGCAATAGAAACATTTTGCTTTTCGTCAAGTCAGTATCGAGAATTAAAAACAAAAAAACCATTAGTTTAAAAAAGAGTTAAACGCTATTAAATACTGGTCTTTATTCTTGTAAATTTTATGTTGTAGCCGTCAAAGGAGCCCTTCCTACACCAGAACCGTCAGGCGGTAAGATTTCTACAACTGATTTCCATCATGCAAATTCGTGACTTCTGGCCACAGTGCGTCGCAAAGCTTTATGTTTTTCCAGCACGTTTCTGAGTTACCCAAATTTTTTATTTCATATTTTCTTAGTATAAGGACCAAACTTTGTGCCAGCATGTAGTTTGACATGATGCCACACATACCAAGAAGCGTTTTGAAGGCTTGAAGTTGGTCGATTTTTCGCTTTTTGCAACAAGCGCCTAACAGCACTTTGTTAAAAAAATCATGTGAATTTTAAAATTAAACCAAAGCTCCTTAAAATTCCACAAATAAAAATCAAATGAATTATATACTTTGAACTAAAAACCCCCAGGATTTCTTAGGAAACATCCTCCTTCAGTACTAGCACGCTAAAGTTGCTCAATTTTACTGTATTTTTGCATAATTAATTAAGTAAAAACCCGAATTTTCGTTTTTCCCCATTTCCTCGGACACATTTGATTTTTCAAACTTTGAAATATTTTTTTTGAATATATCTCCCTAAAGGGGTTTACCAGGTAAATCATCAGAATTTTTAATTCTTTTAGCCTGGCCAGCGATTCTCGATATTTACAGTCACGACCTCTTAAATACAAACTCTTAAGGACTAACAAAGGCAAATACTACAAGTTTAATGTGTTTATTTTTTTCTTATCTAATAAGGAAAATTTCTAACATTCTTTGAGGGAACATTCTTGCAAATTAATCAATAAAGATGTAGAACATCGATTACTTTGTTATGGCGTAAAAAAAATTAACTTCATCCGTTGAACAGTTTTAAGTTGATTGTAAAACAGGTCTATCTCCTTTTTTTTTTCTTTATTCTAAGTTTTGAATTTTTTATTTTATTTGCTATTTTCTTAATTCTGGATTTTTCGTATCAATACTCAACTGAGTATTGATGTATTCTACACTCACCATTAGCTCCAGCTTAAAAAAAGCGTTGTCTTCAAGGATGAAACGGATCACACTCATCTCGTAAAGCAAGATAATAAGAACGCATAATACGTTATTGTTCCTCACAACTTACGCAGTTATCAGCGCCGCAAAGAGATAATTAATATTATCAACTTAAATAAACTATTTACTTTACAAGCATTGAACACATACACGTATTCAACCTTGTATTTTACTCAGGTATGAGGCATTTTCATATCAGTTTTACGTTATAAATTATTTCGCCGACACGAGTCAACAAGTTCTGGCAATTCCATTGAATTAAACAATGAAAGTCTTAGACCGCTATATTAAATATGCTAAAATAATATGTTTTTGCTAAAATAACATGGCGTCTGGTATTCTCAGAATACGAATGAAAAGAACCCATGCACGTCTTTAAGTGAAACCGTGTTATTTGAGTTTTAAAAAAGTAGTTCCGAAGACAGCTTTTGTACATTGTGAGACCTTTGGAAGACTTCGGCGTCAAAAGCAATCATGAATGAAAGGCGTCAAGCCATCCAGGTTATTATGAGTGAAATACTGAATTAAAATTGAAACGTAGATTTTATTTCAATAGGGCTAATATCTTTTTTCTATCATTCTATCAACGCTACAATCTGCAAAGGTTGTAAGCGTTTGCAGTTGCAATAGCGGTGAGTGCAAAACCTTTGAAGTGTTGTCAATATTTGCCATTTTCCAAATATGTTCAAAGCAGCTGCCACTGTAGACAATTTTGCCTGTTATTAAAAGATAACGGCTCACTCTCGAGTAGTTGTCGTTATTAATAGTAGTTTATATTTTATCTTGAAAGTCTCGAATTAAATGTTTAATGACATATCACACAGGAAGAGAGCATTATATCTAGTGGTTATATTCCGCAATAATTCTTAAAAACGAAAACGTCCACTTCTTTGTAAAAACAATCATGCTCACCCTGAAGGTATAATCAAATAATTTATCATATAAGGGGAAAAATTACTGAATTGTGATTGGTCAAGACAGAGGGCATTTTTTCTTAATTTTTGTAATTGCCCCGAGCAAAATTACTTGAAAATGATTGGCTCAGTGAGAATCGCTTAGCAACGGCTGCCAAGGTAAAGAAATTTCTGTTTGTTTTGTAACAATAGCGTCCCGTTTTGCGCGAGATCAGTAAGAAAACATTTTGTCCCTTATATCATAAACAAGTAATCACATGGTTCCTCCCAAAATTAAGGATTAATATCACTTGTGTTTTCGGAAGTTGCAGAAGTTGCCCTCGTCGCTGCGCGACTCGGGCAATTTCAGCAACTTCCGAACGCATGCGTGACATTAATCCTTAATTTTACTCGGCCCCATGCGATTATCTGTACTAACACGTAATTGTGCTCTAGGGCCCATACACTAAGCAACGTCACAAAGAAATGATTATCAGCTCTAAGGGGCAGTTAAACATGTCGAACCTCTGTTCGAAACAGGTGCTGGTAAATAGTTAACTATAATGCATTGCCATATTGTAGTAAAGCCTTCTAGAGATGAGAACTTAACCCACGTACGACTAACCATAGTTCAGCACAATTCCGTGTTTTTAGTTTCTTCGTGAACTGCAAAGGCCAAGATCTCCATAAATCGTAGAGTTTGTTCGCTGCGACTGCAGTCGTGACCAAAACTATGCCCAGTTTCTTCGTGAACTGCAAAGGTCAAGATCTCCATAAATCGTAGAGTTTGTTCGCCGAGACTGCAGTCGTGACCAAACTACGCCCAATTTGAACACTGTATCGATCAAACTATCATTGTAATGACATTTTTTTTCTTACAAGGAATTTTTAGAGAGGAATTTAACAACTAATATATAAGACTTCTCAATCAACATTTCTCGGTTTGCAACCACGGGTGTAGTCACAATGGTCATTCTAAAAAAAATGACTTTCCACCGCTGACTTAAATTGTGTGTCTCTCCCTTCGGATTAAATGGTTCCAATCCATTGACAACTAAAGCAACCGAAGCCATTCCAGAACCACACTAACAGAACTGCCAATAGCACGGCCTACAGCACTGCTAACAAAACCGTTTGTGGCGTCAGTTTCGCCTGATCCACAGCGTCCCAGAATCTCTGAAATAGATCCCTGGGGAAATCACCTACGGAATCCCGAGCGAAACTTCTGCAACCCTCAACGAAACCTCGAAATCCCCAAAATCCTCGTGGCCAATGTAGTGCACCGCGGTTAAGTTGAAAACCATTTATTAACGTCCGTTACACATTATAACTCTTAACCGAAAAGACTACAACAATAATTATATAAATACGCGCTAGATATATACATGTAAATCCGTGTAGGTCCGAGTGTATTACATCACTAGCCTTCGTTTCCACACATCGGCTTACCTAAGCCATTGCTGCTTTGAGTTGGCTGCCGGCGGAAAAATGATGCTCGGACGCCAGAGCGAATACTCGCTTGCGGCAAAGTGAGAGAACCTCTGCATGCTCAAAGTAAGCGCTATCCAATTTTTTAACAAGGTTTGGTGGCATATTTAAGAAACACACATTACGTGATAAGTTCTAAGTCGCTACTTTTACTCGATATAAAGCCTTTGTGCTTTGAAACTAGAGTCAGAGATAAATTCTTGAAATTTTTATTTTTTTTTTACTACGGACTCGTGATCGAAAATTGTAAAGTTGAGATATTGAGAAATTGTGGAAATTCAGTTTTTAGTCCAGAACCCTCGATGCAAAAATTTACATTTTAGAGCAGGTGCCCCTTGGTCACCAAAAGCGATTGAAGAAAAAAACACTAGTATCTAGAATAAAAAAGTCTTGAAGATTTCCATTGCTAAGACAGAAAAGACGTACTTTCCTACTCCAATTTAAAATTAATTCTCTACCATTTAATTCTCTAAAAAGTATTTGTTGACTTTGCTTTATTATCAAAAATTGAAAGGAAAGTTGCGTCGAATCATTAATCCAAAGTGAACCTCATAACTATGCTCTTCCCGAGACTTGCATGGGCGCTATCGATTCCTTTTATCAAAGATGTTGCTACTGGCCATGGCCTTAAACAGAACTCCGGTACTTTACACGAAGAGAACTCAGAGAAACCAAACTTCCACACTGGCAGAATCCATGTTTTTTCCATTAGTTTGTTTCAAGACACCACAAAACCTCAAAAGTTTCGGGGAAAAGTAAAAAAAGTTCAAAAGCCTCAAGTTTGTAAACCCAATCATCATTATTTTTAAAGCAAATAACACACCTTCAGTGGATGACGATCAAAGAGGATGTTTTTAGGAAGCATCCTTGTTCATAAAGTACACATTTGATTATAAAACTTTGTCTATGTAAATTTTATAATGGGAGAATTTCATCGCCCAAAGAATTCGTGCGACATCTCATTTTCAAATTGAATAGGCATTAAAAAGTGCTGGATAATAAGACATGAGTACGTATTAGAAATCAATCTTTACTTTTGTCAAAAACCTCTTTTGTGCGAAATGCAAGGAAATATTTCCCGACACTGCTTGGAACAAGAAGTATAATAGTAACTACCTTGGAAACAAATTTCAACTTAAATATTGATTATTTCTCTCTTGCGCAACATTAAAGGAACAAAACTACTACAACCAGACTCAGGCAGTTATTTCACTGCCTTTTATTGGAGGTCGAGCGAAAGAAAGGCCATTAAAGATTTTTTATTGTTTTTTTTAATATTTGCCCAAGAATTTCAAATTCATCGCTTTTTGTCACCGGTGTCGAACCGTCAATGCTGTTCTATTCTGCTTACCTAAAAACTTGAAATTGAAGTTATCACAAAATATAATCCTCGTTATCTTGTCCAAGTTTAACAAATCATTGCAAATAAAAGTGGAATAGCGCTCATGTTATCGACTTAAAAATAGATTTTTATTCCTGTTGGTTTGAGAACTAGATATATCATGAGAATTTTAATAGCTTAGTCCTCTGCGAAAAGTGAGGAAATTAATATGCAAGGACCATAAAACACAAAACTAGTCGCTTTGAACCATAGCTTTTTTCACATCCGGGTGATTAACCATCACATTTTTCTCGCAAACGTTTTCTTTTTGCCTCTAAGAAATGAAGAATTAACGATGAAATGCTTTTGTTCTTCAAGCGTCTTAACCTGATAGTAATTAAGAAAACTGGCGTACCTTTTGAAGTGCAACTCCTTCCTCCACAGTTTTTAGTACAGAATTCTCAACCTCTCAAAATGATGCTTTCATCCGCAGTTGTCGTCTTGCAACTGTAATTGCAGTCACAATAGTCAATATGTAACCTGATAACGATAATTAACTTCATGTTCCTGTCTAATCCTTCAGCTTAAAAATACGCTGTTTTATTTGCAGCCGTGAAAGTTTAGAACTTGTTGGTAAATGATCCAACTTTTCACAGCAGTTTGGGTGACTTGAGTGTAACCTTAGGTTAATAAGAAAGATATTTGGTGTTTTTCTAGACTTATCATTAGCTCCAACTTAAAAAAAAAGCGCTGTCTTTAAGGAAGAAAGGAATCAAACTCATGTCGTAGGGCAGGATGGTAAGAACGAATAACACGCTATTGTTCCTCGCAACTCACGCGGTTATCATCGTCACAAAGAGGTAATTATCAACTTAAATAAAACATTTATTTTACAAGCATTGAACCCATAAAGTTGCGTTCTTAAATTATTGAGCCAAGAGATTATTTTTCAAGCTAAACAAATGAGGTCCTTAATGTATGAGTCCAGATAATGAGGATTCCGTGGTCTAGATGTCGTGGTGTGACTCAGTAACGGTAAAATACCTCCACCTCATCAGGCGAGAATTGGTGAGTCCCAGCCAAGATTGTGCTTCTGCTTTTTACTCCACTTGGTGTCCCGTAGGAGTTCCCTAAGTTTGTAAATGAATTACGGTTACTGTTAGCATTATTGCTAATGTAAATGTCGCTCGATCCAAATCGTGGACCATAACTTAAGCTCCTTCTGATTGCGTTTGCTGGATATTTCACCATGCTTTTGAATGGTGCAAGTCCTTCTTTGTTGACGAGAGAGAAAATGAAAGCCCTGGGATCGGTAGTCGAACCACCACTGGATCCTGAAGACAAGCAAACCATAAAATATCAAGGAAGGGAACATAGACTAAATGAACACTTTAGAAGTGGACTCAGATCTCTTGATGAACTCTATTAATGTTGCATTCAATTTCAAGATTTCATATTCTTTTATTTGATAACTGTTTTACCAGTATTTTTCTGCTAAAGACATCTATCTTCCTGATTTTATCATTTTTATCTTCAGTTCTGTTTTCACCGTTTTCGTTATTCCTTAAATGCGTTTATTTCTAGAGTCGTTCTTTCTTTTCCATTTTCTTTTCGAGAAAAGAAAGTAGAATACGAGTGAAGGGTAGGTGCGTTTTTTGTTCAAGACTCGTAGAACTTAATGTATGCTACTGCAGAATGCAAGCAGAAGGCAATAGCGACAACTGACGAATCACCCGACCCTATACATCACACTGCTTCGCACAAGCTTACGGTAAAAGCAATAAACGATGCAAAACGTGTCCTTTCATTCACAACACTGAGAAAATATCGGGACCCAAACGATCCATTAAGATCACCGATCACTTCACGTGCACCTTCGTCAATGTAATTCAGTATTGCATAAATTGCACTCATTGCAAAAATATACATCGGCGAAACAGGCAGAAGACTAGGTGACCGATTCCGAGAACACCCTCGCGACATGGAAAGGAATGACAGGGACACATCGAAACCAGTGCGGCTAGACATTTTAATTTACCTAATCATTCTAAGCAACATATGGCAATCTGCGGTCTTTCCTTACACTTATGTAGCACGGAAAGCCGTAAAACTCTTGAACAAAAGCTCATCTTTCAAACCGGCAGTCTAAATCTCACAGGTATCAACGAACGTTTTTCATTCCACTAATTTATTCGTGTTTTTCTCGTTGCCATGTTCCCACCAATAACTTAACTCCATTTTCTGCCTTTAAAAGCACATACAACCCATAGTTCCTCTATTCGCTCCGACGAAGGGCTAACGCTCGAAACGTCAGCTTTTGTAATCGTTACGGCGGCAAATTTACCATTTCAACTTTGTTGATATATCCAAAAAGCAAGAATAGGTAAGTAAGACTTGGTAATTTAAGTTTGAAAATTTTGCTCGTTTTCTTTTAATACATCACAACCACGATGAGTAATACAGAATTAGATATTTGCTGTATTATGGGCAAACAACTAGTCATTGAAATGGCCTAGTGGCATAGCTTTATGTTTTTTATCAATCACTTAAAAAGTTGATGTCAACACTACTTACAGCTAGTTTTGACAATAGAAATTTTCCCTGGCAGTGGCTATGGAATGGTAAATTCGTGTATATCATCGTATTCTTACCCCAGTAAACTTCGCTGTATCCTCCAAACACGTACTGACCCTTTCTAATTATCGTAACTGTGTATGGCTTCCCGTCGCAGTTGTTGTGAAAATTGCTTGCTGACCATCCATGAATGGAGGCGCGCCAACATAGATACCATCTGGAATGCGAACCAGCCACTGGCTCCAAGAATCGACTAAGGTGACTGATGAGGAATTCATCGCTCCCCAGGATATATGATGAGATTTGCAATCCTGGAACATTTAGACACATTGGAAGGTCTTTAATAATTGTAATGAAGTAATTACAGAAGAAGAGAATACAGTCGAATGCGGGAAATTCCCGCAACTCGAAAGGAGATCGATTCACCCAGATTTTTCTTATATGCGTACGATTGTGGTAAGTTTTAAGATCGTGTTTATCTATACGTCATAAGACAACGAAAACAGTGTTTTAGGTTCGAAAATCTTCTCAAATAGTTTAACAAGTAATAAATAACATAAAAAATGAATTGACTAGTGCGGATAGCAAGCATCAACCCATAAATTTAGGATTCCCAATCGCTCAGATACGCAACCCTGTGAATTCTCCCTCCTGACAGCCACAATTTTTCTTATAATTAGTCACGAAAGTTCGGTGTTCAAAGATCAAGATAAAAACTTCTACCTGATAAGTTTGAGAATTCTGATAACCTGTTTGCCGGATGATGTTTGGATATTATAAAGAGAAGATAAATGCGAACGGCCTCTGGGAGTTCAGTCGAAGAAGTAAATGTTTATATAAATATATTGATACATAGATAGTTAGATAGACAGAGAGATAGATGCGGGGATAGACAGATAGATAGACAAGTTAGCAGTAGATATATTAACTGATAAATAAAGAAATAGTCATTATTTGAGGGAACATTCTAAATCATTTCGAGAAAGTTATTTTATTGCTTTTGTTGTTCTCTGGCACTTGAAAAGACTAGCAAATTGAATGAACTGCTTATGCTACCTTGACTACATCTAGGCTGAGCTTCTGTCCAGGTTCCATTTTCAGTGCAGAAAATTTCCGATGGTCCGAAGAGCCGATATCCAGGCTTGCATTTAAATAAAACGCGTTTCCCTTCCCAAAACTCCTGGCCAGTAGAAAAGCCGTGTTTCAAGTGTAGTAGATGGGGACACACCCTTCGGCCTTAAGAAATTTAAAAGTGGCATGAGTAAATCTATTTACACGGATAACTAGAGCTTTAAGACGATTGTTTCATATAGAAAACAAAGAAAAAGAAAAGGAAAACCCACTACAAAAAAAGCAAGCGGATGTATAAGGATTTTCCGAGGTACTGTTTTCGCTGGAATTATCTTTATTCACCCAAAATCATTGCAAAACAAGTCTATAAGCTACTTACAGACCCCAACCCCAGTCAGTAGCAAGTATTTTCTATCTATTTTATTTGCCTTAGTTGAAACTTGCCGAAAATTAAAGTTGAGTAATTGAAGGAGCTTTAATTTAGAATTGAAAGAGATAAAAAATGGTCTTACAGTAGGAGAGAATTGTATGGGTTTTAGTAAGGACAAAAGAGCGGTACATGTACGGAGCCTCAAAGTTCCAGTGGAGCCTCTTCTCGTCCAAACTCTTTCTTTTTGGCACGTTTATATTTTCATAAATCATCTAAATTACTTAAGCCTCGAGTCCTCGAAATCGTCGAAAAGACATTGAATGGAATAAAGGCTGATAGTTTCGAAAGAAACTGTTTGGGGCTGCGTCGGTGGGAGTAACGAAATAATTTGGATATATCAACAAAGTTGAAATGGTAAATTGGCCACCGTAACTTTGTTGATATATCCAAATTATACTGAATGGAATACGCGACTTTGCTAACATTAAGTCCAAATGAATGCTGGGATTGGCCAAACCTGGTCTCTCAAGAGTTTTTTGCTCGCTCGAGCTCGATCTTTGTTATTGTTGATTGAGATGCAGAGTCAAATCTAATACCCTCCAATTAGAGAGGAAGAAATGTGCATTTGCAGTGTTAAATGAACAACAGTAACTAGTATGATTATCACGACGTTTTTTTCTAAAAAGATTCTCAGAGATTTGAGGTCTCGGGTCAAAAATAAGAATTTTGAAGTCTGAAGTGGTTTGAAGTCCCTTCTCGGCTTTCGTATCTCCTTTTTATATATCACTATTCACATTTTAGTTTTAAACGCATAAAGATGGCTAAGATATCCACGTGCAGCCGAAATCAGGAGATGTTTACGCGATTGATGTTTTGCCGCAAGAAACCATTCGAGAATCATTCATATTGACATGTTATAACTGGCTGTTCACACTTAAGCGGTCCAAATGATTCGGTTTGAAAATACGTTTTTGTAAATAACTGGCGTGTGTTTCAATGTTTCACCAAAATTTTTCTGGGAAATTGTAAGTTAACATAATGATGCTTAGTTTGACATGTGTAAAACAAGTTTTTAAAAATGGCTCCGGAAGATCTATTGTATCCTTAAAAAAAGAGAAATGCAAAGACCGGTTAGAGGTTGTCATTATTTTTCGGTACCTTTTGGTACAGTGTTACATCCCGATTTTCTTCTGACCCATTATGGATCGGAGAGAAAGAAGGTTTGCCAACAAATACCTTTTAAAAAGTTTGCGAGGCTTTTCGCGACTCACCAACGACAAATCCCAGCGTTCATTCTGACGCCAGTATTTGCTAAGTCTAGTATTAACCTTCAAAATCACATGTCGCTTCTTATTACTAGGAATACTAAGACCGCTGATCCTTACATGAAGGTTGTATACCACTCCAATTGCCAGATGGCAAACACATCCTAGAAGCCGAACCAACGAGATGATACTGTGGAGCACAAATGAACGAGACGAATTGACCTGTCCAGTATCGTTCTCCTCGCATCTGACCGTTTGATGGAGTACCAGGATAACCACAGTTAACTAAGGCTAAAAAATAAATCAAAACAAACGATATGATTTTAATTTTTTATTCACCTATTTCAGGTACATGTGTCCCACCTAGACATTGAGATTGATTGATACATTTCGTTTTATATGGAGGCAAGGCTATGAAGGAGAAGCGACACTCGGACTGCAAATCGTTCTTGTACAGTAAATACAGTTAACTTACCCAAACTTGTATTGGCTTCCGCTGTCGCATTCTTTTCATTATAGAAGGTACATATGTAGATCGCAACATCGCTTGGCTGGAAACCATGGATAACAAGTTCACTCGTAATCAGATTTTGCCCATTGAACACCGATGTAGAATAAACGTGTTTTCCATTCTTGAGCCACCCAACTCGAGGCAGCGGCGCGCCACTAGCGGAGCAGTTTAAGTTCACAGTATCGCCAACATTCTGAACATGAATTTCACTGGGAGGACTGGAAACAATGAAGGGTTCCACTGAAAAAAGAAACATAACCGTTTGAGCGCTTAGACACAAATTGTCTTTTTCATAAGTGTCACAAGGGTCGTTTTTGTCTTGAAGTTGGTGGCAGTTTTAGTTTTATCGTAGTTTTGTCCTCCTTCGTCTTTCCTTTGTCATCGATAGATCCTTTGTGTCTTGCTAGTCAGTGACCTTTGCCAACTTACCTACATCTTTAACAACGACCCATGTAACAGCCATCACATTCCCCAACTTATTGGTTCCTTGACACACATAAGCACCGTCATCGTTTTCTGTTGTGTTCTTAATTATTAGCCGGTTGTCGTCAATAACATGCCTGTTGACGGGAAGTTGCTTGAGGGATCTTGTCCATGTGATTACAGGAGAAGGATAACCAAATATGTCACATTTGATAATAGTGTCCCATGTTTTATAAGCGGTGACGGATTTCTTTGGTTTCGCTTTAAACCTGGTTGGAACTGCAAAATAAATTCGAAAAAGAGATCACAAAAGACGTACAAAAGACCTGTATACGAAAAAATAAAAAAAAATAGGGGTACACCAAACAGGTGAGGCAGGTAAACTTTTCGCAAAGCTAGCTCTGCTTTATTGAAGCTCTAAAAGCCGTAGGTACTGTATTGGACCATTTTAATGGCTAGCAAAAATATTGGCTAGCAAAAAGCCGCCTCCCGGTTAGCTCAATTGGTTAGAACGCCGGATTGTATTGTGCGGGACGTCAAGGGTTTAAGCCCCGGCCGGACCAATACTCCTGGTCTTAAAATAAGTGAGGAGAATTTTCTACCTTTCTTTAATCAAGAAATGGATAGATATTGTAGTCTTCTCGGATAAGGACCAATAACCCGTAGGCGCCGTCTCCTGCAGGGTTAGAGGTAGGAAACGTTAATTTCCCACGGACGAGATTACTTTGTGGTGGATGTCCTCCCCTGGTTGGGATGGGTGGGTCTTGGCCTTAAAAAGCCCCTATGGGGTGTGATCAATTAACCTATGTATGTATGTATTGTGCAAACCTGTACCTTCCACAGTGACATTGACTGATAACTCAGTTCTGCCCAACAAATTCTCCGCTGTACAGGTGTAAGTCCCATGTTCCTCGAACACAATTTCCTTTATTTCCAAGTTGCGTTCCTTAAACTGCCTTCTAACGACGTCTTTTATCGGATGTCCATTCCTATACCATGTAACTACTGGCGGAGGAAACCCACCCGCTTGACAAGGTAATCTCACATTTTGTTTCTCCTTGATTGTTAAAGAAGCTGGAGGCTTTGTGATGAAGTGTGGTAATTCTGAAATTTAAACAGCTTTTGATATCATTGTGGCCTTCATTTTGCAATGAAGAGACTGAATTTGCTATCATGTTGTATTTATTTTGCGATTGAGAGACTAAATTTGCTATGATTAGACATTCATTCAGTAATTTTGAGACTAAATAACCATGTTCGAAACAAGAGAAACTGAGAGCAATAAATAATTGCCACTCTTTAATTCTATCAGCAGCCAACTGTCCATGTAATAGATCTTCCATTCACGAGGAGCAGAGGCGACAGACGTTATAAGCACCGGCTTGTAATTTATCGAGTCATGATACGATTGCCTCCAACTCAACAGCATTTTTGCATGCAAATGTCATAATCATGATTTATGAAAAAGACACGAATACACATCAAGAATCAAAGAAAAAAATAAGATCGAAGTATTACATGCAGTCTGAAAATTAGCAGTATTGCTAATCAATTACAATTTCATCAAATACCATTGTGGTAAAGAATCAAGCCATTACCTAAGAGATCTCCACTGCTAAAATTTGTGACGTGTTGCGACGATTTCGCAGGGTTTACCGGTGGTTTTAATGATCCCGAGGGTCCAGGTGGTCCCCGTGGTCCTGGTGGTCCTCTAGTGCCCCGCTTTCCTTGCGGACCAGCAACGCCCTTTGTTCCCTTCTTTCCCCTCTTCCCTTTTTTTCCAGGAGCGCCCCGCGGTCCTTCCGGGCCTCTAGGGCCAGACGTTCCCGGTGAGCCGCGAGCACCTTGTTCACCGGGCAAACCAGGAGGACCAGGTGGACCTGGTGGTACTTTACGACCTGATGAAATTGAAAAGAGACATTCATGCAATGGAAGACATTCTTGAAGGAACAGTACCAAAGCGCGTACTTGTTTGCCATCTTTTATTCAAGGTCGAGAATTTTTTTTTTTTTACATATATTCCAAAGATCAAAATGTCTGCAAACGAGACAGAGGCTATTCATATAAAATATCTTTGTTTTAAAAGTGTGTGGCCTCGAGACTGTGAAGTTACAGTGGGTTTTGAAAAACTATTAGCAGCAGACAATCAATTTAACTTACCATTCACACAAATTACTTTTTGCGGGATATGTTCTTCTGTCAAATTCTGTTGATGAAAAACAAATGAATAAGTAAGAAAACTTTTGGATACCGGTTTGAATTATCCACCTATATTTAATCATTAATTAAGAACATTAAGCTTGGTAAAATTTAGATAAATTAAAAAGATGTTTTTTCGTCAAGTCATGAGCGTAGAGCAAAGAAAAAATCGAGGAATCGATGCTCAACCACTGAGCCAAAGAGACTGTATGGTGAGCAAGGCCCATTACGAACTTCATATATGACACGCGTCTTGCATACAGCTAAGATCGGTAAAGTTGAATCGTCATGGTTTGTATAGAATAAGAAAGATGGTAAGTTTTGAGCTCAGTAAAGAAATATGGAAAAATGTGTTTTAGTCTGGTCGCGAGCATGAGAATAAGGTAAAATATTTATTTATAACAATTTGTTTTTAAACATTCGTAAATTTAAGGACTATCAAGAAACATTTATGGTGGATTCGTCGCTGTGTTTTTCTCAATTGAAGTAGAATTCTAGCTAAACGCAAAAAGTAAGGCATTAACATTGCTTTTCAAAGACTTAAGTTACTTTGGCATCAATTAATAAACGTAGTTAGAAACAATATGAGTGACGACTTCTAAAATATCGAATTCGAATGTCTGCAGGAAGTCGATTGACGGGCCATTCATTTGATTGCTAAGCTTGAATAAGTCTGTAAGAATCGATACCTCTCCCTTCGGACTCATATTTAGACTGATTTCTTCCCTGGAAACAGAAGTAATTTGTGTTTAACTATGAGGAATGAAATGCTATTTTAATGTTATTAAAAACATAAAGTGCTGGATACTGATACAAACGGGTCTTGGTTATAAGTCAGTTGACACTGGTAGACAAATATAGATCCCTGAGAAGAGGAATCCTTCAACAATATCGCCATAAATCGAGGACATTATGCTGCCGCATTCATTGGTCAGCGGATTGCATTCGGATGAACACAAATATGGCGGTCAGGACAAGTTCCCTATAAAATATTGAACGATTTAAGTTCTGTGGACCTTCTTTAATTTATCGAGAAAAAAGCAAAAGAAAAACAACTTTGAACAGGTCTCTTGGTATTTTTAAGACTAGGCAGAGCGACCTATAGCAATTTGCTGTCTGATGTAAGGCAAGGGACATTAATTCTGTACCAAGCTTCAATATCCCCTCAAACTGGCTTCTTTTGTGATCGTCTAAGATGTCAGACATTTTGGAAATTGTAGCTTAAACCACTTACATTAAATATGGGAAGATCTAAGCAAATCGTACTTGAAAAAGGCTTTTTCTCCCGGTTGAAAACACAGTTCAACGAACGTACTATACAGATCTCTCTGATCTGCTTCTTAATTTTCGCGCGAGAAAATAAATTTATTCGAGGCTCTACTTTAGCATGAGGGGGTCTGGATTGAGTTTATTTCCCGTCAAACATTGCTGAATAAGAAAAACAAACATGGCGACAGTTTGAAGGTTTCGCGGAGGGCTTTTCTTTTAACGCTTTCCCTTCTGGTGCGTTCTTAAGTAAGGTCTCAGATCACAGACTCCACAGAGCAAAGATAGCAATTTTCAAGCTCTTTTGGAAGTATTTTATTGTACAGAAATGTCTCTTTTTATGGAAGATTTGCTTACTTCGAACTTCCCTTTATTTAATGCGAGCCGGAGCTAGTTGACTTCTTGGAGGGTTGCTTCTCAAATGGACGATCCTTTGTAATGGATTACGCTATATTTGAAACAGACTAGAGGTAATGGCTAGCCTCGAATATCGAACATTGCTGACATTGCGGGAAATAAGTAGACAAACAGCTTTTGAATTATTTTTATGTTAGAAGTACAGCTTAATCTCTACTGAACATGTTTCGAGTCGGAGCTAGGGAATAATCTGACTCGTATTTGTTGTATTTTGGATTCTTTTGGTAATCCCATACATTTCCTTACACGATTTCGCCGCCATTAACTTCTCAATACGCACGCGCGTCCGGCATTTTGACCCAAATTTCTTACAATGAACCTCTGCCTAAAAGTAAACGAGGAAATTTCTCACAGGTGGTTGCTGGTTTTGAATTTCGGAAAAGTGGTAACAAAAAGATGTCCACTCCTCAGGTGACTTTGAAGAATGCAACATTCAAACTGCTTATTTACATTACCAGACCCCTTTCAAATATGAATAACATTTTCGCGGCATTTCCGGTATCAAATGTGAGAAAAATGTAAAAACAGATGTTAAATAGTACTGCATGTTTTTTAGCGAAGGAGATTACTGATAGCCAAGATGCTCCTTTTGAGATACTTGTTCTTTGTTAATACATAGACAGGTAAAAACGAACGATATAATATCCCGACGTTTCCGCGACTTCATGACGCCATTATCAAGGGTACAAATGAAAATAAAATTAACAAATGCGAGTTCAAGAGTTACAACTAATTTGCATAGGGGGGGTAGCTACACAAATACTTTAGCACGGATAGAATCCGTTTACACGTTCAAACTCGGTGTTAATTGTTTGATGTAACGCATCTCGTTGACGAGACAATCGAATTTGTTCATGCACTTCTTGAGAACTTTGAAACAGCTAAGAAGGTCCTCAGGGACAGCACCTGCGTGGTCGTTGTCGTAGTGCTTGCGTACTTTGTTCTTTGTTGTTGTTGTTGTTTTTTTTTTTTCAAACGAAAGTAGACGGAATGGCCTGATACGGATGCGCTTAGCCATCATCACGATTTTCGTAACTTTACTGCCCTGCAGGTTTCGGCATTGGTTAGGTGCGAAAAGAAAATTGAATTTCTTTTTTGTTTTTTGGAACAGCTGCTGGGAGGGGAACTTAAGTCATTACTGCTCAAAGGCGACAATCCCACCGTGCGTAATAAGTTTACCATTTCAATTGGTGGGCCGCTCCTGCAGTTCAACCTTTGAGATCGGGCCGGCAATAACAGATATCATAATTACGTCCAATCGACACGTATCTGCCAGGTTGGTGGTGCGATTCCATCCGCTTGATTTCGTTAGTATGTCCTTTTCCTTCTAAGGAACAACTGCACTCTTTGGAATAGCTATTACAAATAAGAGGGGCACAACAAGAAGCAAAGTATCCGCTATTTCCTGAGTATTGAAGCATCAAGCCAAGTACCATTTATACTATCATACAAAATGCCCGAAAGTTCTCCCAGTAGGAAGCACTGCGGATGCTGAGACCAATCATTCGGTTACGTTAGCATTGTTTTTACTAAGTTAAAGTGTTATACTCTAGTATCAAGTTTACAATTCCAGAATTTCAACTAAGTGGCCATTACACTACATGTCATAATTGCGCTGCACACGGACGAATTTACTCTGGGCTTTGTTTCATCCATACAACGTTGACATTAAAAGTGATTTAGCGAGAAAGCAGGCCTCTCTATCGTTACAGAATTCCTTATTCGGTAATGTCACTCGAATATTATCATGATAGGACAAGGACTGTTACGGACATCAACCGACGCCGGGGCGTGTATAGTTAGGAATCAGAGCTCTTAGCTTTCATACGAAGGAGATCTAGACTCTTGTTTTGTTTGCGTAATTACCAAGCGCCTTACAAAGCAATGTTGAATGTGTCATGTTAGATCAAAGTTTTTAAAACTAAGATACTCAAATCCATCTTTATATCTAACTGAAGGAGATTCAAGAGTGAATTAGCATAAACGTGCAAAAAATTTATAGATGCCAGACATACATCTGCTAGAAATTATGTCTCACAGATGTAGGAATAAAATTTAATGTAGTTCCATTCAATTACAAATTAACTTTTTTCGTTTTGAGTTGTTTTGTTGTTTTTGTTTTTTTAATTTTTTTTATTTTTTTTTTTATTGACCGATGATAAGAAATGATTCAGTCATGTAGAAGAAATTCAATAAAAGAAAGTGCTTTTCAATTGATGCTCTGTATGTAACCCAGCTATCGGAAGATGCAAATCAGGGATGGGCCTTCTACCTACACGAAGAAGCAACTTTTTTGTGTAGCCTTAATCCTTCCTATCCCCTACTTAAAAAGATATTTACAAATACAATGTGGCGGTGGCAAATAACGGGTAAGTTCCGAGACTGACCCATATTCGAAATCGGAGATAGAAACTGAATGATTTTGGTAACACACATACATGTCTTCATCATCAAAATTTCCTATGCATTTTCTGTGCCACATGTACTCTTTTCAAAAATTTTGGGATAGTATAAGGGGGAAATTTGCGTGGGAGAATGCAAGCATTTATAAGTTAAAATCTTACCTTCCGGACAGCTTGGGGGTAAGAACAGATGCTGCTACATTTGTGGCATATGGACTGACCATCGGAAGCTCTTCTAAGGCGGAAATTGTCCCTCATTTGTGATCCACTTCGATGCGGTTGAGCATGTGATGTCTTAGTAATCACCTGGTTAGCAAACTGATGAGGAGGATTTTCAAGCAATGGATTCTCTTCAACTGTTGTCAGTCGTGAATCTAATCTATTGAAAGAATAGCACGTGAAACCAAGTGAGCATAGCGTCAAAAGTAAATTGAATGAAAGGCCAAATATCAGAACGTGGGATTTGTCATTCGCTTTCCACTCCATTTTCTCCAAGCTTCGTCTGACACAAACTGGAAGATTGTTTAGTGGTACACTTCATTTATATCCTGTCTCTCGTTGTTTTGATTTCATTCCTGTTTGAAAATGATCCATTGAGATCGCCCCAGGCAACTTTATATAATATCAATGAGGGCTGAGTTGTTTTTCATGATCAGCTGGAATCATTGAAAAATTTCATGGATTTTGTATCGCCATTTCCGTTCCTATATTCTAATTAAAGAACGAAGCTAAAAAACATATGTTCATTATGAAAATGAAACTCTGTTTAGGTGTCAAGGATTTGAATTTCAAAAATGGAACAAGCGCAAATGCCATATCTAACAGCAAGACTTACCTTGGAAAGTTTGTTTCTAAGCAAGCATGTGATTTTATGAAGAATCGATGCATGTATCCCTAAGATAGGAGGTAATGAACTACTAGGTCATTGCAGGATGTTATCCAATGAAGCGCTGCTGGATGTAGGACAGATTTAGAAAAATAACCGAAACTTGATATTTGGGGAAAAAAGTCAGAACGTCCGAGAACGCGTTCCAAGAATCAAAAGAACGTGGACAAAGAATTTTCTTCCTAATCCCCACTGCGTAATCACTCGGTAGAGACTACTATTGCATCCTTTTATGATTACAAAGAAATCTCCTTACCTCAATTCTTTCTGGCATAATGTCAAGTTGTCGAAAAGACTTCGAAATTTAATGGGCTAGAAATTGGGCTAATTTACGACACATTATGTAAACCCCAAATAAAACTGAAAAAAGGTTGCTCACTGACACAATGTTCAATAAAGAATTCCACGAAGTCAACGAGATATAAATTTGGCGTTCGAAGGTCATTGAGTTGGCCTCACTTGACGGAATCCAGCCGGTACTGATCTTTGTTAAATGATACAGCGATACACTACTAAAAAAAGAAAAACAAATCAGGGCTCCTGAATACTTTCTAAATTCCACCAGATTGGAATCACAGTAGAAACATTGCTGTTTACAAATTTCGATTGCATCATTGGATACTTTTGCCGCACACATTAACTTTGGTGACAAGAGTCATCGTAGAAGGAATCTCAAACTATTTTTGTGTGATATGGGTGATTTACGACTTTAAAGCACATGTTGCGACAGGAATTAAGCAATTTCCGGAACATGTAAACAAAAACTAAAAGCTACCAGACCGGACAAGACGATGCATTCTAACCCGAAGGAATGATTAGTGTTCCACTATGCCTTTAGTCAAATAGTTAAGGTTGAAGTCAGCCAATAATAGCATTAGGAACTGAAAAAAAATTATAAAATCAGTTATTCATAGTGTTAGAATAGTCACGATTAGTCATGGGCAAAGATCTGCAAAAAGGCTTTACAATCTAAGTCGCGTTACAATTTCTTTTACAGGTCAATCTGAATAACTGAATATTCTTTTTTCTTTTTTTTTTTCTTTCTCTCTTTTCATTTATCTTTCGCCTTTTTTTATTCTTATTTATTGAAGCTCTCTCTTTTCCCGCTTCGTTTTCTTATTATCCTTTTTCTAACTATTATTTTTGTCACAGTTAATGCGGAAGTTACGTGTGACAATGTTGCATTACTTTATTGTCCGAGTTCAGTTTTTGTGGGGTTCGGCCCGAAAGCTAAGCCTAGGATGACCACGGATGGCTACGAAGCTCAGCATGATGACCATAGCTTTTATGCATGCATGATTTTCACGGTGTGAAGAGTGTCATTCACAACCTCACGGACATGGATACAGCTTTTAAGGTCTACGAGGTGACTGCCACGGTCAAAGGAAACAGGAGTAAGTTTTTGTCTGTTTCGTTATACATTTGTTTTGTATAATTCTGTTTAAATAATTCGGTACTCCGACCACCATTGTAGTCCATTAAATCCTAGTTTTTGTTATTTTTCGATTTAGCTTTCGTTACCACACACTCGCATGAATTTGCTTTTCAACACCTAATCAGGGTGCACTGTGATAGAATTTGATCTTAAAAACCGTGTACGTAACGACTCTGTGAAGGAACTTGTTATTCTACGCCATGACTCGGTATTTGCAAAGCTGCAGTAAGTTAGTTATGCGACCACCATTATGATTACTAATATTAATATTACAATTGGTATTGTTATTATTATTATATCGTTTTTGTTTATTCAGAAGCTTTTTGCTCGTGCAATGACCATTTTTTATCATGAAATCGCATAGCAATTTTGCTTAACATCGCCATTAGCTTCACAACTTGTGGCCAAACTATCGCTCTTTCTTTGTCTGTCTGTTCCTTTTAAGTTTAATTGTTGTTTTTGTTGTTGTTTGTGTGTGTGTGTGTGT